CCCTGTGCGCTTCGTGTGCTGTATCCCGTCCTTCACCGTGAGAACGCAAATGGTAAAACTCCTTCACTGCTGCGCGGGCTGATAACAGTGGTTTGCCCCTGGAAGATCAACCRAGGGAGACAATTTAGCGCTGTAGCCGTCACTTGCTGACTGCCACATAAAAGCTGGACTGGTTATATTTATCATCTGGCTCATTTCGGGCCAAACATATGGCTTTGACGCTTCTGTTTTTTATAGTATCCTATTTTAAGCCCTTAGCGAGACCRTTTAGACCCTTCATTGTCACAGGGCTGATCACAAGATGACACTTAAAGACGTCCACGACTTACACATGATGTATGGGTCTTGAAATGACAGGAGAAGAGGCTGGCTRGTCTGGGGACTGCATTATTCACGTACTTAGCATATAAACAAGAAAGTGTTAAAATACTGCACATCCTCAAGATTTTTAATCAAAATTTCACTGTGAGAATCTTTCCACAAAGATAAAAAGATGAAAGATAAAATCAGCTTCAGTCAGCTTTCAAGGATGAAGATGTATTGCATCAGTCCTTTCACTGGAAAAGATGCAYGTGCCATAATATATAAACTTTAAGTATACTACAGAATTCTTCAGTAGAGTAAGTTGTACTTACTTGGTATGCAGATGACATTTCTGTTAAAACTTCTCATTATTATTGATGATTTCCTGGTATTTAAATTTACATTTCTTATACTGCTGCAAGTCTACTGAATTGTGTTGAAGTGAAAGAGTCAAATTGAACTGAAGGGGATGTCCTCCAGACAGAKGYTGTCAATCCTGAATTTCAGTGGACTGAGCAAAAACATGACAAGTCTTACAAACTGCAGGGGCTGAGTCTTGCTGCAGCCAAACATAATAAAGGGTGTGAAGTGGCACCTAAGATTGTGTGTTGCAGGAAGCAGTTTAACGTTAAACTGACTTTTCAAATTGGAACATTCAGTGCAGTTTCCAGAGTTTCAGTGTGTGTGTTTTGTACATAAGATTCAAGTGAGCATTAGAAGCACTTCATGCTTCATGTCCTCAGTTACTTCAACATACAGGGGTGATCTTTGGAAATATGAACAGCTTGAATGATTTAAAGTATATGCAGTTGTGTAACAAAGGCCTTTTTTTTCCTTAAAAGTGATAAATATTGGTCAAGGCCAACCGTCAGTTATTGTTAATATTTGGCATTGCTTTGTGCTCAGGGRTGTAAAGCAACTTTAGGGAGTGTTTTATTGTTGCAGATACTGAGCTTGCTCACTATCGGAGATACTACAAAGCACATGGCATCTTTATCACCTCTTTAATGACACAGGTTCTCTCAAATTGAAAACATCTGAATTCAGGAATTTGGGCTAGCAGTGGSTGAGTGGTTGATGTGTATCA